AAGTAAACATCATTTATACATTTACCAAAAACACGGTCAACTATTTGTGAGCAAATATCCATTTTAACAGTGTTGAGACAACGCCAAATGATTCGGTGCTTGTAAACCAGATCTGGGTAAAAAAAAGACTGCTGTACAGGGAAACACTGAGCTGTACGGCTTCATCACTTATATTTGCTTCCCAGCTAATCAAATATTAATTAAGGCAAATATTTCCACCATGTTGTATGCCAATCGGTCATTCGTTGTAACTTGCATTGTCATTACTGTAATGGAGCCAACTGGATCCCAGCAAACCCTTTTTGAATGTGGCCAACATAACATGTAGCCACAATACAAACCATTTTAACATTTGACAGCTGAACTGTGGTGGGATATCTTTAGCTGAATAAAAAGAAATGGAAAGCTTCACTAATCCCAAATCACAAGCTACAGATGCTCGGTTACACAACTGCACAGCAAAGCTTTAAGTCAGGCAAACGCCATCTAAAGTCACACTAACAATGCAGTGGATCGGTTTTTTTCCCCCCCCCCCTCTCTAAATAAGAATAAATAAATAAACAGGAGGCAAAGCACTGACATAAGTGCATCTGTGAGAAACTGAGTAGCATTATACTTCCGAATGAAATACAAAAATACAACTGATGATGGCATAAATACTCATATTATTACATTAGCAGTCAAATTTCAAAATGTGTCTTTCCCACGCCCGGTGTCTACCATCACTTCACATTTAGCAACTTAAAACTGCCTCACTCACTATATTAACTATAAGCTACATAGGACAAATCCGTGGATGTAACATGAAACCTCTGCCAACAGATGATTTAAATATGTATCCATGTGTCTGTCTGTCTGTCTGTCTGTGCGGGGTACGCCATAACCAAACCCAATGGTGTGTTAGCTCAGTGACAAGGTGCTGCCAGCAACTGGTAGCAGCAGCTACTCGGCTCCTCTGTTCACCCAGCTGCCAATGTCAGAGAGAGGTAGCGCTGGAAGCTAACGTGAGCTAGCAGGGTGGACCAGTGACACCTCCGTGTACCCGCCCAACACAGCACAGAGACACGGTGTCAAACCAGCGAAGCTCCCCGGCACCACTGGGAACCCGTCTTTACGTTAGCTCATTGGCTAACTGGCTCGCCGTGTGTAACGTGAACCAGCCAAAACGTTATATCATTGTGCGCCATATCTCAGCTAAGGTCACTCGGCAACGTGGAAACTTACAGGATGCCAGAGCAAGAGGTACACACGAAAGAGCCCACGGTCATGTTTGCATAGGTCGGGCCGCGCTGGTCGCAGTCGAAGCACTTTCTGTTGGGAGGCAAACTCGTCATTTCTCTCAGCATCTTCAGGTGTTTCTCTTCTTGTTTTCGTTTCGCACTCGCCGCCATGGTGAGGGATGTGCCGCGGGATGAAATAAAACCGGGGGGGAGGCTGGAGGGTCAGCTAACGTACAACTAAAACAAAGGGCTGTGCTGTTTGAACGGTAGCCGACCCGAGCTGGAGACAGAGGGGGAGTGGGTAGGTGGCTCCGTTGTCAGGGGGGCCTCGCGTCTCCTGAACAAGGACTTTGAGGCGTTGGATCGGGTTGACTAACGGAACAAGATGTTTCCTGTTGTCTACTTCCGCCTTTGTTTAAATCCCGTTATGCTGACTACGCCGCCTCTTTTTGGGTCAGGGCCATATATGGGTGTCTTATACTCCTTACGGTTCCAGTTGTTGGTACCAAATTATCTGACCTCTCTAGTTTGTTGAGCCAGTTTTATTGAAGGCAGTAGTATACGCTGTAATACACAATAATAATGTTGCTGCAATGGCGTGTATGCACTGCGTACTGCGCAGTTCTGACGGGCATCTATGACAAAATAGTCTTGCAGTTATCGGTTAATGAATGTTAAAAAAATAAAGAAATGACTGTATGTTAAGTTATCTGTAGTTATCAGGTCATGCCGTTGTATATGGAGAACATAACGGTAAATAGAGTGCATGTGGTGAAAATTGCGGATTCCGAAGATTAAAAAAGGCCCATAACTATCTTGTCTCTTAAATGAGATATCTTTGGTTGTACTCATGACAGTGCACGGACCGTTACTAGGCTTTCTTTAACTCACCAGCGCCGCTCTGCGGATTAGCATCGTCACTGCAACACTGTGGGTCGCAGTCCAAAGGATACTGGGAGAGTGGCGTTGTTTCTTTCTAAAGCGATGTAATGTAGCATTTTAATTTCAGAAAAGTGTACAAAACAGATTTAATACGTTATGCAGATGAAACAATGCATGTAAAAAGCCAAAGTAAACATTTGTTAATAAAGAAAATGTTGACATTGTCAAACAAATCTTTCTTTCCATAATGAGTGAGGATTCTTCGGGTAAGCTGTCTGCAGAGTTCCAGTTCAAATAAAAATCTTATTGATTTAGGCTTAAGCAGGTGGAAACCATTTCCAGGGACTGGTCTTAATTGGGTTTTATGTAGATGTGTGCGATACTTAAACAAATGACTTGTTGTTGATTTGAAGGGAAACCCTTCATTAATTCCTTAAGCAATGACCTGACGTATCACATAGAATGTTAGGAAAAAGGTTATATCAACAAATTCACTCTCATAAGAGCATACACAATAATATGTAAGGAAATAGTCACGATGGTCCAAAAATATGCATACACAAAGTCACAATGTACACATTTCTTTTATTACTTTTTATTACAGATGAACAACATATTATAACAGAAACCCAAGTGAGCCAAATGGCACTTGTATTATTTACAAGGACAACCAGACATGATGTGTATTTTGTGCCATGGACTGCTGAACAATTAGGTTCAAGGTAAGCTGTGGGACCAGTGGCCTTTACTCTTGAATATGCTATTTATTCAAAACCAAGCTTAGATTCAACTTCTGTCCGTGGATCTTAAACCACAGTGAGGAAGTGACATTTAAATGCCCAACAGAAACCATCCTGACACTGACCACTGTTGGGACAAATGTTAGTTGAGGTACATGGTGACCTTTTCCTCTACTTTGCCCATACAATCCGTAGCAAGTCTTTAGTCCACAGCTTAAGAGCCGTCTCTTCATTAATTGCTGCTGACTGATTGAATTAAAGGCTGCTGATGCTGTCGTGGTGGAGAGAAGTCAAAGGGTTTGCGGTTCTCAGCGTAGCCGTAGAGTTTCCGGAGGGCCACGCGAGCCGCCTCTTCCTCGGCCGCTATGAGTGTCTCACCTGGACCCTGAGCCAGGAGCTTCTTGTCGCTGAATTAACACGCGGGTAAACAAAATACAAAAAGCAATATAAGTAAAACAGGCAGATTATACAATTCAACAGTACAAAAACCATCATCATTTGCTGTACTTTTGGTAACAGCACCTACAACAGCACACATACCTGTATAAGCCAACAAAGTACAGCGGCAGGACGGTACTGGCTCCAGCAGACCTGATGAGGCGAGGCTCTGGCAGAGGGACATTCCTCTTAGTGAGCTCGTCCACCAGTAGCCCCATGGGGTTGACAACTGTCCACATATCGAACAGGTCCTTCCCTATCAGCTGAGTGACCAGGAAATCCTACGGAGAGGGCAGATGGTGAAGGCAGGGGAGAAGAAAAAGAAACTTTATTATAAACAACAAGCCAACTTAAGGTAGACCAATTATAGTTTCTTTAAACATAATATTTAGTACGCATTACACTCTGCAGCAAGCGTCTTACCCGGAGGAAAAATCCCATTCTCTCTGCCCCACTGCTCTCCTGCAGAGCTCCAATCACCGCCGTGAACGTGGAATAAAGCACATCATCAGGAACAGGGAATTCTGCACTCATGGTTAGGTCTTCAATGCCGAGATTTCTTGCTACATGGGCCACAACTGCCAAGCTGGTGAGGTGCCCTACGATACTCTCCACCCCCTCGCTTGGCAGGCTCGGGAAACTGGCCCTGCACCAGTCTGTCAGGAAGCTTTGGGTGAAACCCGCTCCCTTTTTACTCAGCTCAATATTATCTTTCAGAACGAGAGCGGCGGCCTCAGAGTCCACACCTAACCCCTGTCTCCTCTCTTGCTCCGCCTGCAGGTAACAGGGATTGATGAAGGCCATTTTCAGTAGGTCCAGGGAGAAGTTCTCACGTAGGCGGATGCTGAAAGCCTGAACCTCAGCGTGGTAATCCCAGTTTGGCTGTTGACAGCTGAAAAAAAGTCAAACGTGGAGTTACCTCTGAGTCCTGACTTACTCTACAAACATATTCCAAACTGGTTCTTGCTGTAAATGTTTAAAAAGTTGTAAAATGTTATTATACTTCTGACTGGCGTTATGGAGAAAATACCCATGTGTAGTACTGTGTTGGAGCCGAGCAGACAGTCTTGCGGTACACTAGTGTTAACACTTTTTGTACTAGCAAGAGAAACCTCATGGGTCAAATGTCAGCACCAGTACAAACGGCTTAAATATAAAATGGAGACAAAAGAAGAAGCCCACATTGGTGCTGAAGAGGGCCAGACTTCCCTCCCTGGTGTGAAGGAACCAGGGTTCCCGTTAAAAACGGTGCAAATAGTAGCAACACAGACGCTACTGAACAAAGCTGCACTGGCAATGTGTGCAATGTAAAAAATACTACTTTCCATAACCAGCCTACTAATTCGGATAAGACGAATAAACACGCAGTAATATATATCCAACACATGAATGGCCTTGAGGTGCTCTCTAGTGCAGTCTTGTGTTAGCTACAGTTAGCCTCACCGTGGTTTCGGTGGTGGCGGTCCTTCCATCTTTAACTTCCTCGCCATGAGGTGTGTGTACGCTTTCATCCATCGCTTTTTCTCCCTGACCTGCGATAACGCCATGTTTCTGCACACGCGTTGACAGTGAATTCCTAATGTTAGCGCACCACGACTCAGTATGTAGCCGGACGCCATGTTGACCACTGACAGCGGAGTGCAACAGCTAAAAACCGTCCGACTCGGTACAAGAAACAACATCCGGCCTGCGCAGACCGGCCCTAACGTAATGCCCTGGCGTTACCATGGGAACAGACATAAACGTTAACTAACGTTAGCCAGCAGAGTGGAGCTCTGAGGGAAATCTACGTTTTACAAACCGGCTGGACTACAAGAACAAAAAACAAGTTTATATTACTTTTTATTTCTCCTGCTTGTTAATTTCACATTTCTTTGGCGATGTCCACTGCTGAAGTCCAGGAAACGACGGGAGACGAAGCTCATATGGAATGTGGGGATGCCGAAATAACCTCTATCAAAAATGAAGTGGATGCCACGATAAAGGATGGTGTCCGAGGAGACCAGGAATATCACAAAAAACTGGAAACCCCACTTGAAGAGAAAAGGGGGAAACCATCGTTGCCACGAATGACAAAGGAATTCCTGAAAGACCACTGTAAGCTGAACAAACTTTACACAACACCTTGCCTGAATGACACACTGTACCTGCATTTCAAGGGTTTCTCCACCATTGAGAACTTAGAGGAGTACACGGGACTGAAGTGTCTCTGGCTGGAAAGCAATGGGCTTCAACGCATTGAGAATCTGGAAGCCCAGACTGACCTGCGCTGCTTGTTCCTTCAGCAGAACCTCATACACAAGCTGGAAAACCTTGAACCTCTGAAAAAGCTCTGCACCCTGAATGTCTCTAACAACTACATAGAGATCATAGAGCGCATCTCCTGCCTGTCTGACCTCAGCACCCTGCAGATTGCCCACAACAAGCTGGAGACTGTGGGGGACATAGAGCACCTGAGTCAGTGTCTGGCAATCAGCGTGCTGGACATGTCTCACAATCTGTTATACGACCCTGAGATCCTCCCTGTGCTCGAGGCCATGCCAGAGCTGCGAGTGTTAAATCTAATGGGAAATGAGGTGGTGAAAAAAATCCCCAACTACAGGAAGACCCTGATTGTGCGCCTCAAGCAGCTCACCTTCCTCGATGATCGCCCTGTGTTCCCCAAAGACAGGGCGTGTGCAGAGGCGTGGGCGACTGGGGGGCTGGAAGGGGAGCGTGAAGAGAGGGAGCAGTGGGAAACACGAGAGAGGAGGAAAATTCAGGACAGCTTGGACGGCATTGCGATGATCCGAAAGAAGGCCCGGGAGAGACGGCGCCTTCGAGAGCTACAGGAGAGAGGTGGGAAATGTTCAGCTTTTACTAGCCGGGAGTAAATGTGGATTTGCATCTTTAAACGGTACACTCTGTTTCATTTCAGGGGAGACTGAGGTTTCTACCACTGCGGAGGATCCGTGTGCTGAAAATGACACCCAGATCTCTCCACAAGGTGAGAAGATCCAAGCCTTTGTGCAGGACAGCCTAGATGCCCACGAGGAGTTCTTGCAGCGTCAATCCACACAGGGGCCCAGTGAACATCAGCCAAACAGTGGACTCCTAGAAGCGGAGCAGCCAGGTCAAAGATTGCAGAGAGAGCAGTCAGAAGAAGATGACCTGGACAAATCAGAGGTAAAGCAGCCTGTGAGAGAAGAGAAAGAAGGGGTGTATCCAGAGCTCCCAGCACAAGAGCAGGAAACCATTACAGGAAAGATATTAGAAACAGAAAACGTAGAAGACAACCAACAACCACACCAGTCACGTGGAATCAGGTTCATGATAAATGAAGCGGAGAGAGAGCAGGCAAACACGAGTGACACGTTTGAAAAGAAAGAGCCTTCTCTGGTCAAGGCAGCTCCTCCTGAAGCGTATGGCGCTGTGCCAGGACACGGCCCTGGACCACTGGTTACAGAGCTGCAGGACGCAGAGGAGCTGGAAACCATTTACCTTCCACCACATCGCTCACTGCGTATCGATGATCTGCCCGATCTAGAGGATGTGGACACAGAAGACTTCACAGAGATGTTCTCCTCTCAGCAAGTGTTCAAACCAAAAATAGAGGTCATATCAGGAGGAAGTGATGAGGATGAACCAACTGGGAATCAGAGTGAGGGCAACCCCGCCTTTGGTCCAGATCAAAAGTCTTTGTTCTCAATGAGCGGCTGCGACAGATCTAGAAAGTCTTCATCATTGGTGTATCCAGAGGATGGGGATGCCCTTGAGCCGCTCACTTCTGAACCAGTGGGAGAGTCCGAAACTAAGCAAACCTCCTCTCCACCACGCTGCCTGATTGAGGAGCTGGATTGATGCAGTCTCACAGGACACATTTTAAATGAAATGTCTTAATGCTGATAGGCAATAGACTGTGAGAGAACAT